AATTGTACAGAGTACTGTTTATTCATGCTACGGTCGTTACGTCAAATTGGGATGGATCAGTTGAATTGGCCCTAATTTCGAAATTGATCAATCAGACGGTTTATTGGAACCGATGTCAAATGCGAAAAATGATTGAGCTGGTTGATAATGTGGCTTTGGTCAAAAGCGGCGATAAGAATGCACCAATATGGTTTTCGAAATTTGATTATAAATAAGTATGTTTTCAGATTCAATTGAGTGAAAAACCGAGTTGCCAATGCACTTTCAGTATAGTCGGCCGAAGTATAACGAGTACAAACCGCTTCAAAACGGAGTTCTATAGTTTTAGTTGATATGTAAAACAATTTTTAGCGGGTAATGGATTCCATGTTGAAAAATTTGCCGGGGATGCTTGACTACCCAGCTTAGGTGCATCAAAAGGGTCTGAAGAAGGCCATTGGCGTGAAGTTTAAACCGTCCTATACGTACTAAACACTAATAATGCTGCAGTCAAATGGATTATCTGTACGTTTTTTGTAAGAGAAATAGAGTGGCTGGGGTTTCGACTGTCCACTAAGGGTACAGTCCTCATTGAAAGAAAAATCGAATCTATCGGTAATATGAAAAAATCACAAAAAATATTACCGATATAGGTTCACTCATCGGGTCAATGAACCATTTTATTCGAATTATTCCGAATCTCGCATGAACAACAGATTCGTTTTAAGACTTGAAGAAATATTCGTAGTTTGAGTAGATTTCTAATCATGAAATGGTTTTTGCCGAAACAAAAAAAAGCTCGTGAAGTTCGTCCAAAAACACCATTTTGATGCCGAAAAACAAAAAAAAAGAACAAAATGCGCCTCTTCAAAACCAGGATTAGGGGCCGCTTTAGAGCAACTTCAAACCGACAGGTGGAAAACCATTTCTTATGCCTCGAGGTTCTTAAATGAGTCTGGGCTAAAATACAGCATCAGTGAGTTGGAATTATTATTAGCGGATGTTTAGTGACAAATCATTACGAGAACTATTTATTTGGGTCTCCATTCAATACTTTTATCAACCATAAGGCAATATTTAATAAATTGCTTTTCAAAAGAGAAGGACTCTAAAACAACCTAAACCGGTTAGTTCGTTCGGTCGATCGTTTCTTGCCCATCGACTATGAAATAGAGTACATCTCTGGGGGGAAATTACGGGACTTGTTGTCTATTTATTCAGGATGCTCCGATATTGTCGGAATTGGGCATTACTAGTATTACAGCTCGAATTAGGAGTGTTAATAGACTATTACAATCGTCGGTAGTCAGTAATACTGGAGCGCTGAACCTGAATCATGACGTTATGTGTGAAAGGAAACCAGAACGAGAATTACGTCATCGGAAGGAAGGTCGATCGAAAAAACTCATCGACGCGTTTAAGAATTGTTGTTTGATCAAAATGTGTAGTTCAATTCACTCACGTACAGAGCAGTGTTCAAATTGTAACTTACTAATTTATTTCGGTTGCTTCTAACGCCATTCCTAGCATCTTATTTGAATGGCAGGATTATTTAATGCAGTACTTTTTGCAATACTAACGAAGGCCGATGAAATTCTTAATTGCATTGTTGAATCTTTACTCGATGAAAATTATGACAAAGTTTGTAACTTGGATCACTACTTTAATCATTATCTTGACAAACTCGATACGTCATATGGAATTTTTTTCCTCGAGGACTGATTACTTATGCCACATCAGCTTAGGTCACCAGTTATGATGGGAATGCACCAGGGGCATACGGGCAAGTTCAAGATGCGAGATGTCACTAACTGTTTCTGGTAGCTACATAACAATCCAACTCACCGCGGCCAATTTAAAGAGTGGGTAAAGTCCGCTAGGAACTTGAAGTCAATTTCTCCGGCGGGGGACGTTATTAAGTTGATTCTCTTAGAAGAAACCAATCATGAGCTGCAGTTGGATTTTTTGGTCCCGCTACCGCCGGTTAGGGGTGCTAATAAACACTAGCTCGTTTGCCAAAATTCTTTCAATACGGATCACCACAAAAACTAATGCTACGGTGTTTAAAAAAATAGCTGGAATATTATATCGCACTACACGCAATTCCGGGAGCCATTCGTACGGACCAGGTGTCGGACTTCATTGCAAAATCAAAGCGGAATAAAGTGCCACTTATAACATTCAGTTAACTTTCGCCCCGGTAGGGCAGCATCGCGCCACAGGATTAGTGGAACGATGCCTACAAACACTCCGAGAACGTCTCATGGCATACTCGTTTCAAAAAAAGCTACGGCCGGCGCTCAAATCAGCAGTAAATGAGATTTTGTTCACAATTTGAACAACAATTCATCAATCAATGGGATGTTCGCCATTTGAAGCATATTTTGGTCGTAAGCCAAATACCGTCTGGCAAACGGTAGCGATGTGTGCTTTGTCGAGTAACATATCTTGGAAAAAAATTTTGTATTCTCTGGATCGCAACAAGATGTTTACGGCCCAAGTTATGCAGGAATACACAAGACCAGATGAGGACAATGGCTATGAACAACAGGGTAGAGCATCCGCAGGCGGAGTCCACGCCATTTTCGAGTGCAGAACCTAGCAGTTTTACGAATAAAGCGCCGGTCTTAACCGCTCAACAGAAAGGTTATCAAATATTTTGGAAAAATCAAGATCGGTTCAAATCGCAGCCATACTTAGAACTTCAAAACGCAGCCATATTTTGAAATTCGAATAAAACGGTTCATAGAAAGGTTACCAAATATTTTGGAAAAACCAAGATCGGTTTAAACCGCAGCCATACTTTGAACTCTGATAATCCGATCAGTCTATGTGGTTTTGACTCAGAGACAGTAACGACGGCGGATATATCTTCACCGCCACGGCCAACGGATCCCCGCAAGGAAGCGGCGATACAGGCCACAGCGGAACTACCCACGGAATCAACAACACGACGACCGTTGGGCGCTGTCACGGGCACAGCGAACAACACCATCTGGACTGATAGTTCATCCGAGGATTTGATGTGTACGGATAGCCCGACAGCTGACCGCGATGCCATCAGAGTGTTGCCAAAGGTTGGTGCCAACGAGTCACCGCAAGAACAGCCGAAGGAAAATCCGCGGGTAGCAGAAGACGAGAGTTAAAATTTCGGCCACCAATCTCATCGTTCCACATTCGAGTTCAGAAGAGATTAGTGTTACACAAATGGAGACCGAAACTAGAGGAAAACTGTCAACACCGATCGTTTTATCATCCACGGACGAAGGGGAGGACGCGCCGAACACGTCAACGAATGGCTCAACGGATATGGACACACAGGAGGGAGTCGTACAGGGTAAAGATGAAGGCGAGGCGACATCGACCCCGAAGTCAATCAAAATAGAGAACGGTGTGATGGGACCTTTACCGGAGAACTCTTTGCAGGAGGGGCTGAGAACGAGTAGCCCATTGGTTCAGACCACTAAAGCGGTCCTGTGGAATGATACGAGGCCACTCAGGGATTGACGACCGTCGAGATTTTTGGATTTTTGCGGTCACAATGGAAACACAAGAAATAAATGTTTTGACGGCCAAAGATACGTCGGATGAGGTTCTTAACGTACTACCACAAGCAGCTTCAGGCACGTCCGGTGGCAAGACTATCAGCCGACCGCGAGGGGGAGCCCGGATGGGGGAGCGGACACCACCTAAAAAGTGCCGATAAGCCTCAAGAAGATCCCAAGCCCAAAGTGAATGACACAGTTCTCAAGTTCAAAAAAAATTCATTATGAGCCCAAACTATGTATTTTGTGATTTGAAAGCGGATTCGCAAAAAGGAAGCTCTCTTCATTCAAAGATTTGTTTCCGGAAACCAGTCACATACTGACACAAAATAATGCGCCTGTCCAGTGCACGGTTTGGCCTCGTAATGTTAAAAACAAAAAAATACATATTGTAACAGGCACAATTGATTTCGCTTACAATTGATTTTAGAACTTTTTGAAGTATTGAACTTGATAGCATACAAAAGCTTTAATCATGCAACTTCAATATACATTTTTCCAAAGACTAGCATTTGTCAATGCAATCCACATACAGAATTTTTTTGCCAAAATTTTTGGCTTTGCAGGTTATCCAGGGAACAAAAGGCCCAAAATTGATTTCTTTCGAATATGAATTTGTTTTTCTTTCAAAGGATAATACAATGAAGTTTTGAAAATTGTACAAATTAGCTCTTATCTCAAATTTACAATCTGGAGTGTTCAAAATTAAACTGAGGTTCAAAATGAGCATAAGCTATTATAATATAAAAAGATATAGTGCAGGTTGTTAATGCTGAGAGGCTACAAAATGTTGTTGCTGCACTAATATCCTAGTTATTAACACAGTTCGAAGTCGAGCAATCATGAATCAAAGTGAGTCGAAAAAACTGTTCATATAACAATCAAGCTTTTAAGAGTGCAAATTAGAATCTAATATGAAAGTTGCAAACTAAAATACCATTTTCTTAACAAAGAAAACTCGTTGGATTAAGTTGAACGTTTACTTTTACAAAAGCCAAATCGTATGAGTAAAATTAATTGGGTAACTGAAACTGACTTCACAAGCGAGCACATCGATGTGTAAAAATCGGACTCTCTCTTTTTCAACATATGGGCATTTTAACGAAAAACAAGTCTCGTTTTACAGATTCATACATGATGGGAATAATATAATTGAGTACTGTAGTACTAGTAATCGACCGAAAACACATATAATAGATTCAAAAATATATAAGTAGCGCTTGGAATTGACCGAAACACACTATGGATTTCCTTATCAACCCCCCTCCCCCTCGGAACCTAGTAACGAATTACCAACCCTATAAGGAAATAATTCAATGGTTAGGCATATGTGAATTTCGTACCTAGTAACGAAGTGCCACTTATGCAAAAGGGGGGACAGTTAAAGAGATCCCATATCATTCATTCAAAAAATTAATGTAATAGAAGCGGTTGTAGCACTCAAAAGTATAAAGAATTATACAAAAAAGTATCCGTGTCCTTCATGATCAGATTTCTCCGAGAAGCTCCCACTTTTGCGCAGCAGCAGCAGCAGCAGCAGGAGTGGCTGTGGGTGGTCGGAAGATGGAGTGGAAGTGGGTCTGCTCTCTGTAGGTCTTGATGTCCTCGTTTCTGTCCCTGATCCACTGTTTCATCAGCTCACTCATGTCGCATTTGGTCTTACCTGTCACAACAAAGTATTTAAACCCAATTAGAGTTCCGACCACTAATGAAAAGAAAAAGGGGACATCCAATATAGCACACCATATGTATAATTTTCTAGAACCTAGATAGCAAATTTGCTCGAGTTTAGTTACTACGTACTTCAAATCAGAGCTCAACCGAATTGAACTCAACAAAACTGCTCGTAAATCAGGGCGAAGCACTTTAAAGCTGATTCAAAAAAATTTTACTTGAAAATTTGATGCAAAAATTTGAAAAAAAAGATCGAAGGGATGTATTTACCGTCTCAATGCCGGATAATAAGACAAATTCAATTTGCCAACCAAGGGAAAAAATTTTGTTCTTCATACACATGCTAAATATAAGTACAAATGGATTTCTTTAGCGCCTCTAGAGCTCGCATAAAAGCTTTGAAGGTCGGAGCAAAAAGTATGCGTAATTCGGCACACTAAAATCCTTTAGTCATGTCATGTATATGTAATGCAACGTCACACTAACAAGATTCAATCAATATTTGTGAAAAAAACTCATGCAGCGGAATACTCTGTGCTACCTGCGGACTACACCAGTTTTTATTCTTAAAACTGAAATTTTAAATAACTCCACGAGTGTATATCTGAAAATTACGAGAAATTGATTTGAGGTTGAATATATAGGAGGGCTATTCTCATGATGGAAGAACCAAATGATGGAAAGTTATCCATTTATAAGAATCATTAGACTTTCCTATTCGTTGAAGTTTTTTTGCACAAAACCGAAATCAAAACTAGCAAAAACTGATTTAAAGACAAGTTTTGCACAACAATTTGTGCAGATATTCAATATATGTTTCGTTTGTTTATCAATTTTAGAAATCAGCATCCTCTTAAATTTTAAAAATCAAAAATGATTTTTTTTCCAATGTGTTTAGATCTGACACTTCCTGCGTATGATTTTATTGCGTATTTTGCAGTCGATCACTTTTAGTTTGGTGGCCTGAATGAATGTATTTGCTTAAATACAAACTTCCGCGGTTTCTTTGAGAATTTTGAATACTCAATTTTGATTTGCTGAGAATAACTGAAAAAAAATTCCAACAATCGGCCCCTACATCAAAAGGGACGCCAGCTGAAGATATTGGCATGCACCACGAGAGAGTATAGGGTGCTTTGGCGAGAAAAAACTTAAATTTATGTTCTGCTTTAATCTCACTAAAATTGAACAACAAAAAAAAACATATGATTTCACCGGGCAGGCATAAGAAACTGAGTGAGGGTAATTAAGCCAGCCGAATAATAAACAAACCAAGCAGAGTATAAAAAACAGCAGAAACGTTACATCAATTGAATGAGATTTGCATGATTTTCCTAATTGGTCCCATACTCGTGACATAACTGTCATAAAACGGTTACGGATTTTCAGCTGGTTTTTATGGTAGCTGTTTTCTTCGACTGATTTACACGCCACCGAAGTTGAGTATACAAGTCGAGAAAAGTAGACTATAATCATAATTTCATTGAAAAACTGATATGATGACATAAACAAAAAGTTACATCAATAATCATCAAACGCTTGGTCTAATTCGGCAACTAACTCTCGGTATTTTAAGTTATTTCCCAGTTACCTGGTGGTGGCCGATAAATTCGTAATTGCTGCTCCAGAACAAACTTATTTTTCACCAAAAAACCTCAAGTGGACAAGCGTATACAAGTATGATGGTTGAGTTCCTGGAAAAACAAGCATGAAGGATGTGTTCCGCCAATTTTATGAAAGTTTTAGAACTGCCGGCAAGCAACTGCACTAGCATTGTCATTGTCAGCGCGAACTTAAAGGCCTCAAAATTTTCTTCGGGTAGTCATGTATTATTGCTCAATATTCTTGCATGTACATTTATTTCTTGCTCATTCTTCTTTTTTGGATTCAAAAAATAGCAAAAATTTCTACCTCCGATTTTTACACACAATAACCTTGCTCATGTTCAGAAAAACAGTAGTTGCTTCATTTCGAAAATTTTTATTGTTTCTCATTAGTGCATATGCTAAAGGATGTTTTATATCTAAGGAAACTTGCCGTTCTTCAGTTTTTTTTAGTTCCTAAGATTTTGTTTTGTTCCAACTTTTGGTCAAGGAGCAGCAATTACGGAGCAGCAATATATTTTTATCCAGGCATTTCTGACTTTATAATTAGCATTTTTTGACTAATTTTTTAACAGCCAAAAAGTATTCCTGAGTTAAAATCAATAATAAAGATATATTTTGCCTGTGATTAGTTTTCGCTCCACTTAACACTTTGCTATTATCCTTGCTGGTGGGGTTTTTTCAAAAACCCAATGAATGATTTTTTTTTCAAAAATTTCATCAGTTTGTTTTAAAGCGATCACTGTTCCAATGGTTGTACAAGGCAATCAGAAAAACATTGGAGGCTTCGTTCTAATGCGAGCACACCACGGCCGGGAATCGAATACCGTTTTACGTAATCTTACTTTTACGTGAGTCTGAAATTTTACGTGAGTCTGAAAATTCTGAATTGGAAGAACGTCTTAAAATAAAAATATTTGTGTTTAGACGAAAATGACCCTGAAATGAGCACCACCGCGTTCCCACAGCACTCAAACTGGGAGGAAAGGTCGGATTTGACGTACGCTGCGGCACTAAGGAAGGCACCGCTCATTCTGGATAGCGACCAGCAAATGAAAACGCGCCAAGGGGAGGAATCGGGGTTGACCCTAAAATCCAAGGGAGTGGAGACGCAGGCGATCTTTATCAGCGTACCATCAACAGGACCTTAAATCGGTATAAACTCTTACAATCTAATGTAGTCTCCGAGTCTAATTATACCATCAAGCTGAAAAACGGATCTGTTATTAGGAAAAGTGCAGTGGCAGTAAAACCAAAGAACACCCTCCCCAAGAAACGGAAGCCAGCCACGCTCCAGGAAATGTTAGTGAGTGCAAAGAAGGGGGTAATAGAGAGCCCGAAATCAAAGCGGCCAAAAGCTAAGCAACAAGTACCTGTAGCCACGTTTGAGTCGGACAGCTCGGAAAGTGAGCATTACCGGCCATTCAAAATTATACCAGCACGACTACCAGTTGAAGTTTCGGCGAGACACGAGGAAATTGCGGCGGGACAAGGCCCAAGTAGTAGTAGATTAGTATTAGAACACGGAGCGGGAGCAAAAGCGAAACCTAAAACGACGAAAGCAAAACGAGGGAAGGGGAGTCAGGACCGACCGGCGCTAGTTGCGAGAGAATGCCTTACGAACAGTAGTCAAGAGGAAGACGTCGAATCAGGCAGTCAAAGTGAAAGCTCGGGAACAAGGAAAAGCCCCAGAAGAAGAAAGCCAGTCGATAAAACGAGAGGAGTAATGATAGACAGTATCCAAGGGGTGAAGAAGAAAGGAAAATATCCAGGGGAAGGAAACAAGTAAATCTTAAAACTCATTCAAAACTCGTTACCCAGGGAGAAGGATGGCCATAAGCCTAAAACTCAAAATTAAGTTGTTGATGTGCTAGTTTCGGCGGCAGGTTGAAGGTTACTACTTATTATATTAAATTTAAATTACTAGGTATTTAAATTTTACATCTGTACGGAAATGTGAGGGGCTACATATTTAGATGTCAACCAATTTAGTTGTATTCCATTATTACTTATCTCTGAGAGTTCCTATTTTATAATTAAGTATGATTTTGGTACCTGCCTGTCAATCAGTCTAGATCTGTCTAGCTGTTATGTGTTGACCTCGAGTTCAGTGTCTTATTTATGCGAACTAGAAATCAGTTGAATTAGCTCTTAAACAGGAACGTTTTGACTATCCCTTGTTAACGTTATGCACACAAAAAAAATTGTTTGACCGTTTCAAAATTATTTGGAAACATTTTTCTTGTTGCCATCAAAAAAAACGCTAGTCATATAACTTCCATATATGGAAATTGTACGTTTAGCGTTTTTTTGACATTTTTTTTTCTTTTTTTAGTACGTTACACCGACTTCGACTTTTATGCCAAAACAAGAAAAAAATTCTCTGAAAATTAGATGACACAATTTTAGCAAAATGTATGAAAATTGTATTAGTATTTTTATAGACCTAGTTTATGGAATTGTATGATTAGTAATTTTGGTCTATGGAGTTCAACCCGGGGATGTGTTTCCTTTTCTCCGATACCTGTGATTTGGGCCAGTTCGTTCACGTGCGCCGTCTGGAAGTCGATGCCCTCGAAAAAGTCCCGCAGCTTACTTTCCTCCTCCTGCTTCTCCGCTATCTCCTTCATCATTTCACTCCTCGAAGGTACCTTGTACTCGCCTATAACATATCAAAATAAAAACAAAAATAATCATAATAAATTGTTTTCAGACTTGTGATGAGTTTTCTGTGGTCGAGTTCTACGCGACTTATGTTTCCACTTTGTCGCTCGCGACTGAGTTAATTCCGCTACTGAAAATCGGATCTCCTTAACTATTTCTCTTTTTTGGTACCAAGTGACGAAAAGCTAGCCCTATCAGGAACTAACTCAACTGTTAAGCATATGTGAATTTTGGACCCAATAACGTATCTCCCCTTTTTGCCAAATGGGGAAATAATCAATGAGATCAACGAAAATCCATAGTCTGGACGGGGTTTTATCATGATAACAAAATGATTAATTTTTGATTTTTAGGCTTATACATGACGTTGATGATTGTTACAAACAGCATATTTACTACAAGCAGAGATTGACATGAGATCTTCTGGAATAGAAATTTTACCAGCGAAACAGTGAAAATTATTTCTTCAACAGTGTTAAGTCTTTATTGTCCTGACTGTAGAAAAACAATACAAAGTGGGTATGTTTTAGCAAAATTCCGAAGTCGAAACTGGTCTGAATAGTAAAAAAAATAATCAATCAAAACTAATCCGGAATATCTGCTTGATTTATTTTTTATACAAATCAATTTTAATTAAATATATTATTACGGGACTTTATACCATCTGGATAAAAAGATACCCTGAGCCTACAAAAATGATTTTGTTTTTTCTAATTAAGGGTGTTTAAAAAATCGAGGGTTTTTTTGAACGCGCTGGATAAAAATCTTGCTGAAGGATTTGAAAAACCCATTGATTAGAGGAGAGGTTTGAACATACATATTTTTAATATTATATATATGTTAACGCCGATAGAATTTAAATGATCTTACTTTTTTGACAATGAAAAGAGAGGGATGCTGAAAAACTTGTCAGCGTCTAGCAGACAAAATTTCTCTCTAAAAACTCATATAAAAGCTAAAAACTAAACTTTTTTTCTAATGGCACCGAACAAATTGTTTGATTCTATGGCCCAATAACTGTATGGTTCAATTTCAACTACTGTTCAATCTTCAATTAGTTTAAAAATCCAAAATTTCGAACCCTTTTTGCTCGTCACTGCAAATTTCCCGGGTCGAGTTGCTCACTTTATACTTCAACGTTTCGATCATATATTGGTACGTTTCGACCAGGGGCGGATCTAGGATTTTCTCGAGGGGGGGGCGGATTTTCAAAAAATTTTCCAAAATTTTGACGACCTTTTTTTTTTTTTTAAGTCGACCAAATTGATTTTTCGAGCTCTCCCAAAGCACTGTTTTGCCCCTATTTTGGCAAAATTTTGGAAAAACCAGTCAAAAAAACCGTTTTTAGGCACTTTTTGAAACATTTTGATAAAAAATAGCGTTTTTTTTGGCGCGCGCTCCCCCTCAAAGTTAGTATATATTGGCGCCGAAGGCGCCTTTAAAATTTTAGGGTCGGTCTGCCAAAAATGGATTTCTGAAAAAGTATCAAAGGGGGGACCCTTTGGGTCGGCAGGGGGTCGAATCCCTGAGGGGGGGCGTCCGCCCCCCGCCCCCCCCCCCCCCTAAATCCGCCCCTGGTTTCGACAGTCTCGGTCAAAAGTCGGTATGTTTCAACCTGCTCGACCGAAATTTGGTAGGTTTCGACATTGCTCGAACAAAACAAACGTGCTCGACCCTAGCAAGACATGTTTCGACAGAAAACCAATGTGCTCAACTGTGCTTGACCCAAGCAAGATATTTTTTGAGCGTGCTCGGCAAAATTTGGATATGTTTCGACTTAAGACAACATGAGTTATCCAATTTTAAATGTGATATTTGTTGCTTTTCTAGTAACATCTTTTGATGCTTTCTTATCAGAATGAAATTTTTTCGTGCTCGAGTATATTTCAAGTTTGTGCTCGATCCAAAACCCTGTCTCAACTATTCTTTTGCGGTCGAGCGCTGACATGAAAGTCAAATCATAAAATGAGCACCTCGAACGAGTTAGCAACTCAATTTGTTACTGAAAGTTCCATGTCATATAACACGCCAGTGGCTCTTATAAATTGATTATTTGTGTTTAAATTTGCGTTTGATACAAACGTGCTTTTTCGTTCATTACAATTTTTGTTCCGACATTCGATACGAAAGTAACGGAATATTTGTGCTCGGGGTGGTATTTTTTTCTTCAGACAAATTTCGACTTTTTACCTAGCCATTTTTGACGGAATTTTTTTTTATATCTGTGCCCGCTAATCTCCGTAGGATGAATTTAACCGACAAATCAACAATGAATTCGTATTCTCGGTAATAAAAATTTCAACAACAATATTGATAATTTCATCCCAAAATTTGCTGTATAACGAGTTCATAAATTCATCAAATTTTCCGCTTCAATAACAAATTAGCGCAAGCTAGCCACAAGAACCGGTCGGTAATGTCCTTGAGACAAATTGCTCTTTTTTAGCGGTCAGCCTTAATCAAGGCTGAACCAAATTAGAATCAACAAAACAGTTAAAAAAGGATATAACCCCCTTTTTTAGTATATTAATACACGGACAGGTGGGGGACTCGAACCTACGTCAACTGTTATGTTACGTTACTTTGTCTTAGTCCGCTTGGCCAACTGTGCTTATGGTTGTTACATTTTGGTTCAATTTTATGCCTTTATACTCACGCACATTTGCATTTATATTTGCGCTGCAACATCCTCCACCCCTAAACAAGGAAGAACGGGAGCGAGCTTTACGGTCGGGCGGGTCAGTTCGCTCGTAATGGTCTTTATGTCGGCGGATCTCGCGCGTCCGTCCTTGCCATAGTGCAGTTTTAGGATACGTGCGAGTGGATAATGTCCACGTGGAGTGTCAGGCTCTATGACCCAAACCAAGTCGCCGGCTTTCAACTTAACTTCTGACTGGTTGTGCCACTTTGCCCTCCTATTGAGGGAAGGAACGTATTCCCGCATCCACCGTGTCCATATTGCGTTAGCGTATGATTGCGCTCTGGCGAAACGCTTCTTATGGTCGAAGTTTTCTTCGAAACTTAGCGACGGAAAACTCGCTGCGTGTTGACCAAGGATAAAATGATTCGGGGTCAACGCCTCTAGATCTAGCGGATCGGAACTAACGGCTGTTATTGGTCTAGCGTTGAGTGATTGCTCAACAAGGCACAGCGTGGTTCTTAGAACCTTCTCCGTTAATCGTCTGTTGCCTAGGATGTCATACAAAACGCGCTTGACACTCCGAACTAATCGCTCCCAGGAGCCACCATGGTGCGGTGCGCTGGGTGGATTGAATTTCCACTTGATCCCTTTTTGAACAAAAACAGCGGGTGCGAGCTTGTTCCAACTTTCAATGCAAGCTAAGAGCTCTTTCTGAGCGCCAACAAAGTTCGTTCCGTTGTCGGACATGATGGTAGTCGGAGTACCGCGACGTGCAATAAACCTCTCTACGCACATCACACAAGAGCTTGTGTCGAGCGAGGGGACCACTTCAATATGCATCGCTCTAGTGGTGAGACAGGTGAGCAAAAAACTCCACCTCTTTTCCGTACTTCTCCGGATTGGAACTAGGAACGGCCCAAAGTAGTCGACACCTGTATTAGTGAAAGGAGGTTGCTTGTAACCCAGCCTTTCAATGGGCAGATCAGCCATAATATGAGTTACTGTTTGCGCTTTGCGTTTTCGGCAAGCAACGCAAGTATTTTCAATGTTTCGCAGCAACCATCGCAAGTTTAACACAACGTACTTCGAATTAACCACCGCACGCATGTAATCCAAGCCTTGATGGAAATTCCTAACGTGCAAGTGCTGAACCAATAACCGAGCAACCGCGTGACGTGCATCAAGTATAATCGGATGCTTGCTATCGAAATCGGAGTTAACCAAGCGCCTGATGCGCCCAGTCGAGCGAAGGATGCCAGCTGGTCCAATGAACGGCGAATACTTGGCGATCCGACTATTCCTCGTGATAACTTTACCGGATCTTAGTAGTTTTAGCTCACTAGGGAATGTCTCACCCTGGGACAGGTAAATGAGCTTCTGTTCAGCAACATCCATTTCAGACGGGTCTGTAAGTTCTAATATACTCGACCTGAAATGTTTATGGGATGGCAGCCATCTTAACAAAAATGCTACTGCGCGTTTGTATTTTACAATTGAATTGAACCTGTCCCATTTTCCGAAGGGAAGATTTTTTTCTGTCAAAATATCGACGAAGAAATTTGACGAATTTTCCAGACAAATGTCGATATCACATGATGGTCCTTTGAGTCTTATTTTATCAATAACCCTTGTATCGGGCTTGAACGGCCAATCAGTTGTTCTCAATATACTAGGGCCATTAACCCAGCTGCTTTCCTTGAGGGCTTCCGAAGAAATCCCTCGTGTACCGGTATCAGCTGGGTTATCACCGCTAAGTATGTGATGCCACTGATCAGTGGTGGTAGACTCCAGAATCTCACCAGTGCGATTACCAACAAAAACGGGTAGTTTACTACAAGAGTGAAGCCACTGGAGAACAGTGGTACTATCTGTCCACATGAAAATATCCGTAACTTTGAAAGTGAGACCTTTCAAAATTTCTTCTTTTAAGCGGGTTGCAAGAAGAGCCGCTTGAAGCTCTAACTTTGGACTAGAAAGCGCTTTCATAGGCGCGACGCGGGCTTTGCCAAACGCAAAGTCTAATTCGGTCTGATGGGAGCTAACAAGTCGCGCACGAAGGAAAGCGACGGCACAGAAAACATCCTGCGAACTATCACCGAACATGTGAAGTTCTATTCGGTCGAAAGGTTCAATGAAATAGCTGCGAGGTATTGTCAGAGAACCTAACAAATGAAGACCTGAGTGCCACTCACGGAATTGCTTTTTGATTTCCTCTGGCAGATCATCGTCCCATTTTTGACCGCTGATTCGCCAGATATCTTTTAATAGAAGGCGAGCCTTCACGGTATACGGAGCCACTAACCCAATTGGATCAAAAACAGAGGAAACAAAACTCAACAAGGTACGCTGAGTGATTG